TTCTTAAAAACCATACGGTTAATTGGTTTAAAATTTTAATATAATATTAGTTTCGTTTTAAAGAATATTTTATATAATTTTTAAACAGATTGAAGTATTTTGATTTTGCTATCGAACCTCCTTAAGAATCGACCCTCATCAAATTCAAAATATTTATATTAATAGCCCTCAATTTTTCATAAAAAAATACGTATATGCAGTACAAATATAAAATTACTAATTATCTATAAATATACAATTTTTCTATTGCATTTAACATTTACAAAGTAAAAACACAACAACGGTCGAATATATACATATAAAATGAAATTGTTACATATATGTTATAAATAAAATTACTGTAAATAAAGTTATAAAATGGTAAAAATAAACTAAATATACAAATAAAATCTTCTAAGTAATACATGATCAATGTGTTTTACTGTTTATTTCAATATTAATTACAAAATAATATTGATAGTTGATCTGATTTCTTTAAAAAGGTCAAAATACTTGTAATTATAATAATTATATTTATTTATTAATTATTTTATAATTAATTATCAAAAATTTTTTCGTAATAAATTTATGTTTATTTAAAGAGATCCACAAACATTGCTATTAATTCTATATTTATAAAGGAATCAATGTATAATTAGTTTAGTTTATCTAAAATAATAAATGCACGTATTAAATATAAATATAAGTTATATTGAAATATTAAATAAAAAAGTATTGTATATTGTACAGCTACAAGAAAAAATTATCTTTCTAATCACGTTATCACCGGATGTGATAAAAAAGCTTAAGTAAGCAATTTATCATAAAAACGTATTGTTAATTTAATTGAATTATCTTTAAATCTTATCATTTCTCGAAAAAATCAGGTCGTCTTCAGAATGTTTACCAATCTTATAAAAAACCGTATATTATGAACTCTTCCTAAAGCGAAATGAAAGAACAATCGTAATCCCGTAAAAATTTTTAATAATTAAGAATTACAAATATACAATGTTAACATTAAAGTAACTACCAGGGAAAAAGGATTTACTTGTTTCAAGTAATTACACGTTCTTAAACTACTATTTATAAGTTAAAAGAAATAATTAAAATAATTTTTTTTGTATTAATAAAATATACATGTTAATATAAAATCTAATCCAAACCACGAAACTAGATAAATTTTTAGAAATGCCATATGCAATCTAAAAATATTTGGCGCACAGTTAATTTAAATCGAAAATTGTAAAGATTCACACAATTATTATCAAGTACCAAAATCTGCTTTAGACTGCATATGGTATTTCTAAAAATGTATCTAGCTAATAAAATATTATCAAAACAAATGATTTATTAATAAAAATAATGTTTTATTAAAACAGAAATACAAATTATTTGTCAGTAGGAAATTATTTTATTAAATTAAAAAAATTTAATTACCTGACAGTTGTCAATAAAAGAACAGTTTTCTTCAATTTATGACATGAATACTAGAAATAATTCATTAATTACCTATATATTAATACACATATGTATATAACCAATAATTTCTCGCTATAAGTACAAAACTTAAAAGAAATAAATTCACATATATGAGTTGAACCATTAAATTTATACTCTTCATTAAAATCACTCAACCGGGAGCAATACGCGGCATTGCCAAGTGAACGCAGTGGAGTTTGTATTTCTTATAAACAGACAATTAAGTATACATAATAGATTAACTGACGTAGCATTATAAGATTCTTCACCCGCGTTTTTACAAAACAATTTCTTCAAGAATTTCTTTCAATTCAAGAGCTACAATTAATTAATTACTTCTAATAATTTGTTAATTTTTCTATATATATATTTATTACTGCAACTTAACATAATTGCAGCAAATAATGATTTAAATGAAAAACTCTTAATTTAGTATTTATGTTTATATTACAAGAAAATGTTACTGTAAAAGAATCGATATTTTCAAGAAAATTTTTTATTGTCCCAAAAATGAAGTTATTTCACGTGAGAAATATTTTTTTATTTCAAGAAATTTAAATATTCTCTGAGAAAAGACAACGTTTTTTCAATTTCATTTAATTTTTATTTCTGTTTGTTAAATAAAAATTTTATTTTAAGAAGTAGTTTATTTAATGTTTATTAATAACAAGAAAATTGTTACTATGACTCAATTAAATACTAGGGACTATTTGAGAAAATTATTTACTTGAAATAATACATATACAAGTCCTTGAAAGTTTTCCATTGAATATGACATAAGTACTTATCTTTATCAATAATTAATGTTTTTTATATTCTGGAACTTTTCCACTCCAAAAGATAAGCGCAATTAGGCATACGAACGCAAGTTTTTCATTAAAGAAAATGTTAAGTTTTGGTTGTTTTTCAGCTGTCACGCACATACGCATATGCAGGTGTTCCAAAGTGCACAAATTATATTATTTTAAGCGGAGCTAGTCGAGTGGTATGTCGCTTATCTTGAATGTCGAAGAAAGAAGAAAAAGAATGTATAGAAAAAATATAATGAAAATCTAATACTATCGTATATTTATTGACAAAATCTATTGAAATAATTACTAACAATAAGTGAAACATCAAGAATAGCGTTTCAAGCTCTTGGAATTATTTCATTCTTATTTGCGTTTATCAAATATTAATTAAACAAGGATCCCTAATGCTCGCAATGGCGTCGACAAACTTTTGGAACACATCTTTAATAAGCATTTTTATTTTTCAAAACCAGAATTCTAAACCTGCAGATGATTAATTATTTTGTTTTATCGTATCTCGTTAATTTCTCGAAAATCTAAGTTATACGTGTTGTTTACGTAATAACACAGTTTTTGTTGCTTAATTCCCGGGATGCCTCGATGTCTTGTAACTCTAACAGTTTTCTATCAGTAAATGTGAAAGCATTTACGGAAAAAATTGCTGTGGATGTTACAACAATATTCTCTATGTTTGGAAAAGAAATGCATGTGAATTTAAGTTATATTGATGTTACATGGCATTCATCTGTTAAGGTATGCTCATCAGTACGGTTGTCACAACCGTAGTGCGTAGGATAAATAATATTCGGTTAGAATATCTTCATGTAGTTGCCTCAACCGAAGCATTATTGTTATCTCTCTAGTATGGTCTGTACAACAAATAGTATGAGAGATATATATGATATAGTTGCACGTCACAACATTGAGGCTGAGAGTTCAGTTAACTATATAAATCACTTCCAAAGTATTTTAGTTTCTATAACTCTTCTAAATTGATGGGCGAAAATTATCACAATTATTAGGTTGTGGCAACAGCAATTTTTTTTCCGTGTTATTATATTGCTTTTGACCATGATTTCTCCCATGTTCCCAATGTTTTTTTAAGATGAGCGATGTGTTACTCGCTCATCTCTCCGTTTAAGTAATCCTACAATGTATAACATATAATTTATGCATCACGGATCTTCTTCAGGTGTTAGCTGGAAAATAGCCAAGACTCAACATCTTTCTTTGTCACGAAATATTTTATTTCTGAATTTTAGTTCTGAATTAACATTTTGAAATATTCCCACGGAGTCCCGCGAAGTTGCCCGAGCCATTCCATTGGGACAATAAGTCTATCGCGCGATCGCGAGGAATTCGTATCAGAGGGTACTACACTTCGAGTAGTCTTACGCGCGGCGCTACGTCATGATCGATATACCTTTAAATGATCTATGGTGTGTTATCTTAACGGGGCGATCGCGCCGCTTTCTTTCCTTGAGCCACATTATTTCCCGCTATATCGGCCTCGTTTCGGCCGCTTATCTTCCCGCTGGATAAACGCGTAGAGAGCGGCGCCGCGTGCTTCTCTTCCCGAAATTTGCATAGTGCATATACGGCGCGCGTAATCAACGGCCGGACCTCGGCCGGGGGGGCAGAGGGGGGGGAGGGGGAAGTCGCCCACTCGCCTTCGCCGAACGGGCGTTATCGGCGTACCCGCGCGGCACACGCGACGCAGATATAACCGATCGGCGGGTACGCACTCGCGTTATAGCGCCCGAGATACGTCCCGGGGGCAGGAACTCGGCCCGATTTTTCGCCCGACGTTCAATTTCGCGCGCGATCGCGCGCGCGCGCGCCCGCACGCACGCGGAAGCCTTCCTATCCGACCCCGTGACGACGTATATATATATATATACGCTTTCACGAGACCTCGCTCGCCGCCTATAGCTCGCCCGTAAGCGCACGCGATTGACGAGTGTTACCCGCGTGTCGAATCGTACGCGACGACGGCACCATGATCGCCGCGATTTTCGTAATCTTCCTCGCGCTCGACCTGAGCGACGCGGCATCGATCGCGCATGTCACCCGCCACCACGCCGCCTCCTCCGGACCGGCAGATCTCTGCGACAGGTGAGTGAAAATAATACACGCGTGTGTGTGTTGGTAAAACTGAAGAAGAGATCATCTCTCCGCCTCGTGTCCCGTCTCGTATATAAACTTTATTCAAAACTTCATTATTTGCTCATATCGATTATTTGTTCAATCGATCATCGCTTCCGCGGACACGTTAAGAGCTTTCACTGAAAAAAGTACTCTTGCAATTATAAGCGAGAATTATTTAGGTACGAAAAATCAGCTAAATCGGATAAGTGATTAGTAAACACTGCGATACCACATATGTTTTGTATTTAATTAATATAGATAATAGAGACAGAAATATCTAAACTATTTGTCAAATTTAGCAAGAAAGTGCCTCTATGACGTTTAATCAGTCCAGACTCCAATTATATTTGATTATGAGACCTATATTTTCTTGTATATATTCTTAGAATATTGCTGCTATAAATTCTACATATGACAAACAATTTTTCAGCAGATACAAAAAACAGCGATGTAATTTAAGTGTATAATATTTAGAATTCTAGCTGGAACATTTCCCTGAGTGTTCAAAAATAGAACATTACACACTTTTGGTATATACCTGTCTGTATTTTTTTTTATAGTTTCTCAGAAGTTTGTTTGAAGATGGTTTTTATTTCTCTCTCTCTCTCTCTCTCTCTCTCTCTCTTTCTGTTTTGTGAACGATTCACCTTTTAATGTTAATGTTTGAAAGTGATACATTATAAGAAACTTCGCATGTTTGTCTTGGTGAGCTTGTTACACCTGCCCTTTTGTTGTTACACTTATTCTTCTTACACCTGTTATATATCACAATAGACAAAATAATAATTTCAACGGGAAAAGACCGACTTACTGATCTTTTCAAACTATCGGACAATCAAACATATCAACAACATCAGGACATTTTCTCGTATAGGAAACGATGAGTCTATTACGTTTTTTATCAACAGCTGACTTTTTTATACATCGATACATTGTAATTCTTGACTATTTTATACATCGATACCATACTGTCATTTTTTACTCGGTTTAACGTACAACTTGTTTATCTTTATTACATTCTACCACGGACGTATCTATTTAAACTGTTTGTCAACTTTATAATAAAATTTCATGTTTTTTAAAATGCATGCAAGCATTTTATTTGTCGGTTATGCACGGAACGCGTGGATTTTGATTTTTTAAATTATTTATGTGAGACGACCGAAGAGGACGAAGCGTCCCGTCATAATTGTAAAAATAATAATATAATATTTTATACCGATATCTATAAAGTTTTTGCTCGTTTAATCTAAATTAACATACATTTTCGAAAATACGAGCTATAATTTATATTTTCACATTTTTAATCACTTTTATTAAGGGGCTTCTGAAAATATTTGAATAGAAAATAGACACACAAATATTTGATAAATGTATGATCATTTGCAGAAAGTAATGTTGATGTTGTCTGAAAGGGTATGACTTTAGCGATTTTTTCTTTTCCGACGGTCTTTGATAATCACATAAAGAACTGATCACATTTCTAATGTCAAACTCTTTGACTTTATTTGTAAACATTTATAATCATTTATGAAGTACACTTTTAAAAGATAAGTCTAATGCAGATTTAGCATCGCAGTCCACGCAAAATAATATTGATATATCGTTGAGATTTGAGCAGTCACATTTTAGCGACTCTCCGCCGTTCGACTGCAGCCAAATCATTTACAGTAGGTGAAACTTTCGCCATTGTCTCGAAGAGAGGCACAATTATACTCCTCGTTGGAATACTTATCGCATGCTGCAGAATATAACTTTCTGATGAATGTTTGTACACAATTCTTTGTACGTACATTCGTAGTGTTTGCGACTCTCAAAACTATAAAATTATTCAAATTATAAAATAGATCAAACTAACGAACACTAATAAAGTGACGCTTAAATATAAAACATAAAATTTATTCTAATCAAATAAGCACGGTACGTGTTTCGACTTAAAATTAGCCTTCTTCAGCCGCAAAAAATTAAATAAATAGCGAACGGAAACATATGAGTCACATAATCGATGTATAACAATAAATTAGTGTAAAACAGTGAAATATAAAATGTATATAAATTACTCAGCGTTAAGAAATAGCAATTTAGAGTCAATATAATCATAGTGGTCGTCGAAATTTCTCTTTTATTCTGCAGAAACAGTTTCTTTGTCCACATTATAAAACGTCTCAACAGAGTGGAAATTCCGTTGGAAGTATTGTAAAAATTTGTCAAATCGCCAAGTTAATATCGTCAACTAATTCTATAATATCTACAATAACTTCAAATAGCCGTAATTAAAATAAAAAATAAATAGTGTATATAAAGAAATATTAAAAACTTACTAAGTCACAGATGTAAAAAATCCACAAGGTTTTCTCATATGAAGAGCGGTCACTAATAATAGTTTATAAATAACATAGAAACACACAACTTGTGTAAAAAATAAATAGTGTATAAAAAAATATTAAAAACTTACTAAGTCAGATGTAAAAAATCCACAAGGTTTTCTCATATGGACAAAAGAGAATAAATTCACACTAGTCGCTGTCACGTATAATATACGAATGAGTACTGCGGAGACTGTGCGGTATCAGCGGTCACCAATAATAGTTTATAAATAACATAGGAACATACAACTTGTGTCACTAATAATAGTTTATAAATAACATAAGAACATTCAACTTGTATGTTCCTACGTTATTTATAAACTATTATTGGTGACCGCTGATACCGCACAGTCTCCTCAATACTCATATTCGTATATTATACGTGACAGCGATTAGTGTGAATTTATTCTCCTTTGTCCATATGAGAAAACCTTGTGGATTTTTTACATCTGACTTAGTAAGTTTTTAATATTTCTTTATATACACTATTTATTTTTGATTTTAATTACGGCCCTTTGAATCCATAGTTGACGATATTAACTTGGCTATTTGACAAATTTTTACAATACTTCCAACGGAATTTCCACTCTTGAGGCGTTTTATAATGTGGACAAAGAGACTGTTTCAGAATAAAAGAGAAATTTCGACAATCACTATAATTATATTGACTCTAAATTGCTATTTCTTAACGCCGATTATTTTATATACATTTTATATTTCACTCCTTTTATATTTCACTGTTTTACACTAATTTATTGTTATACATCGATTATGTGACTCATATATGTTTCTGTTCGCTATTTATTTCATTTTTTGCGGCTGTAGAAGGCTAAGTAAAGCCGAAACATGTACCGCGCTTATTTGATTATAGAATAAATTTTATATTTTATATTTAAGCGTCACCTTATTAGTGCTCGTTAGTTTGGCCTGTTCTATAATTTGATTTTTTTTACATTGACTTGCCTCACATTATTAGTGTATAAAATTATTTTTGTTATTCTTCATAATTATATTTAAGGCTTGATCAAATGGATCATAGAATATTTAAACATGTTGCACACTTTGTTACTGATTCCCATTTATTTAGTTGCTTGACGAGCTTGCCTCACATTATTAGTGTATAAAATTATTTTTGTTATTCTTCATAATTATATTTAAGGCTTGATCAACTGGATCATAGAATATTTAAACATGTTGCACACTTTGTTACTGATTCCCATTTATTTAGTTAGTTATTTCAAGTTTCTGAATGATTGATACAAGTCGTAGAAGGTAATGTGGAAGTTACAAATTCCTCATTAATTGATTAGACTTTTCCTTGGCTGCATGATTATATTATAAAATAGATAATATAAAACACGTTATTGTACAATAATATAAAATTAATTCATTTATTCATAAAAATGGAAAATTATAAGTTTGTTAAAATTAAATCAACTGTCACATAAAATAAATAACGAAAAAAGTCTGTAGTAAATTTTTATATCTAGAATATTATAGTAGCAACATTTTTAACTAATAATTATGCTAAATAAATTTACATCCTTTTTCCTAAATGGTTTTCAATAGTCACGAAACTTGATCGTATACTATTATTATATTCTCTAAATTCTTCTTTTTCTATACTATACTTCTGGTTACTATATATATGTATATAGTACTATTTTATGTACTTATTCTGTCATTTTAACATAGTCTTTTAAATATCCTCAGATAGAAGCGCTAATAAAAATGAATACAGTAAAATTGTAAGTGATTAAAGCCCTTCGAATTAGAATTCAAGTTACCTTTAAACTTTTTACTTTAAAATTGAATAGTTTAATAATACTACGACGCACGCGCGCGCGCGTTCATTTACTTTCCTATCTAAAAAAGTGCATGTAAAGTTGATAACTCGCATTTAGATGAGATTGAAATTTAATAATTTGGCGGTATTTTAAAAAGGGTTAGAGGAATTTGTTGAATAATTGATAAACCACGTTAGGAGGTTCCCGAAAAATTTTTATATATTGTTGTTTAATAGATTAAATTAGAAGCTGGCAACTAAAAAATTTAAATTAATCAGAATTCAAATGAAAATATAGAATTTTTAGGCTACAATGAATTACAATTTAATTAAATATTGGATTAATATTTCTCTTTTCCACGTTATTGCATTATTGCATTTTGACAGTTGTGTGTATTGAGGTTGATGTTATTGTAAATTATAGTAAGAAGTGTTAAATAGCGCGAGCTAAGCGCGCGTTTGTAATGCTAGTATCTTAAAAAATGTATAGCATTTACAGCATAAAATAAAAGCTACGCGTTTTCTTCTAGGTACGCACTTTACCCTTGCTTACGGTTTCTGGTAATCGTGATTCACTCTCTCTTTCTCTCTCTCTTTGCGCGCGCGCGCGCGTGTGTGTGTGTCTTTCTCTGTAGTCTTTTCATGTTGAATAAAATTATTTCCAAAAAATTAGCAAGCCGATAACGGTTTATCTGGTAGTAACCCGATAAGGTAAATTCACACTTGTTAGAGGCACGTGCATCAACACGTCATCACTTCGTTCAATTTGAAACAATCGATAGAACCGCGAGAGAAAAAGTCATTTGTTTTACTTTTGATCTGTTACGTAAAATTTTTCGCATATGGTTTATTGGTTCATTAATGACAATATAATTTTTTATAAATACTTCGGTTTTCTTTCCATCAAGTCGTTTAACTAATTACAATTACAATAACTTCTTTTTAAATTATATCAATAGCTACAATAGAGAAAATATTATTAATTTCAATTTAATTTAATTTATTTCGTACGACCAAGAGTCAATTATAATATTACAATATATATTAAGAGAATACAATATTATTAAAAAATACGTAAATGGCGAGGCTTAGCTTAGCAGCTTAGCTTAGCAGCGGTAAAGCAGCTTCCCAGATAACTGACACAAATATATAAGTAACAGAGAATTGAACAATACATTAATATAAATAACACAAATAATATTAACGCAAATAGACATGTTAAACGTGAAATTAATGTTAAATGAGTGCGCACGTACGTACTGATACGTACACACGTAAAATACAGTGACACATACGGGAACACACTTAGCAATGAACATTTAGAACAATAATTTTCGAATGAGCCTTTTACAAACCTTTTACGAAGCCTTTTATTTTAGTAATAATAAAACAAATGTTTACAAAATGTTTGAATATAAGAAAACAAACGGAATTCAGTCGACATCGATAAAATCAATCTTTCGTATTTGGGAAAAATTAAACAAAAAATAAAAAAAAATTCCAGGTTTTTTTCTGGTAATATCAAGATCAAATGAGAAACTTTTTGATTCATGAAGGATTCAAAAATTATCAAATAGTGTGAATGACATAGCCTCTTGCTACTTATAATTCGATTTTAATCTTTAGTCATGATCAATTATTCATTGATTTCTTGTTTTTGACTTTGTGGTTTATATATTACTCGTTTTATTTATTAAAATTTATTTCGCGGTTTTATACTAGCTGAAGATGTCTTTGTGTAGTGCGAAACGTTCTAGGTTTTTTTATGTAAGTCGTTATTAAAGTTTTAATTTTTGACATCCAATTTATCGTGTGCTCGTTTCTTGGTCTTTTTATTCTTATATTTTTTTGCGTTGCATACACAAGCGGTTATTGAACTTAATAAAGAATTTATCTTGTCACCGAAATTTCTTCTCTGATCATTCGAGAAAAGAAGCATGAAGCGTCTCTTAATGGCATTATGTCCCTTGACAG